ATCATATTTAGTATACAAATGTATTTTTACGGGAAAAATACAGGGGAAAAAAAGCGGTCACGATTAGAGTTGATGATTAACTTTTTATCAAGTTTTTCAAGAAAAAATGACAATTTTAGGAAAAAAATGTATTTTTCCACCAAAAACGAACAAAATTTTATTTAAAGGAAATTAAATTTATATATTTTAACGTATTTTTACGTGTAGATTACAAGAAAAATATAGCGAGAATGATTGGAGTTGATTATCATAGCGTTGTCAAGGAAAAACCATGAATTTTTACGAAAAATACCTAAAAATGAATATGTACCCCCCCCTAGCGGCCACATCTTTTGACATAAAGAGCTCAAATTTGACACACTTACGTATTTTTACGTGAAAATTACAGGAAAATTATAGCGAACTTGATTCGGATTAATTTACATAGCGTTGTCAAGGAAAAATCAAAAATTTCGAAAAAAATGATTTATTCTCCCTAGCGCACACAATATTCAATCCAGACTGTTCATACTTGCTGTAAAACTCAATTTTTGCGTGAAAAATACAGGGAAAAAATGTAAGCGCGATTGGAGTTGATGATCAATTTTTATCAAATTTTTGAAGAAAAATGATAAATTTCAGAAAAAAATGTATTTTTCCGCAAAAAACGAAAAAAGTTTTTCTACAGTGATTCAAATTTATATATTTTGACGTATTTTTACGTGTAGATTACAAAAAAAATATAGCGAGGATGATTGGAGTTGATTTTTCTGGAATTAATAAACAAATTTTATTTTTTAGATAACTTTCGATTTTTCCTTGACAAGCAGCTACTAGCCTTATATCAATATCTTAAGTTTTATCTCTTTTTGACTTAGAATGATAAAATTTAATATTCAATATATTTTTAAAATGTAAATACAATAAAAATATTGCGAGTTGAAATAAAATTATGTTTCTTATATTTTTTTAGTAAAATATTTTTTAAAAAATAAAATCGGACAAGTGCGAGTTACACTCGCACTGAAATCGAGGGTTCCGTACTCGAAGCGAACTTATTTGGTATAAAAACAAATGTTTAAAAAATATGTGTTGTATGACAACTAATATAAGTGATACAAAAAGGAACAATTTTGTAAAATTCAAGAAAATTGTTCCTTTTTGTATCACTTATATTAGTTGTCATACAACACATATTTTTTAAACATTTGTTTTTATACCAAATAAGTTCGCTTCGAGTACGGAACCCTCGATTTCAGTGCGAGTGTAACTCGCACTTGTCCGATTTTATTTATTTTGATCTAGCTCAAATCTGGACCGAGTTATAGTGCTCACCGCACGGCGATACATTTTTGAAGCACTCAGCCATATCATCTGTCAGACCGACATTTATAAAAAATTAAATAGTTTTTTGCAGTTCAAGAGTAGTATAATAAATACCCTAATGTATTTTAATTTTTTTAAAAAAAATTTCTATTCTTCAATAAAAATTGTTAAAGAATCGTATTTTTTGGTTGGGTTAAAGTGGTGTAACCCCTTAAATTAAGAGGGGAAACTCGTGTAAAAAAAAATTTTTTACAATTTTTTTTCTCTAAAAATTAGTTTACTATCTGTAGAATATGATCCTACATTACTAATCTATAATTAGATGTATAAATGTCTATAGTAAATATAATTTTAGCACTTCCGATGCTACCAAATGCAGTTAACTATGAGCATGAGATTCCTCTTTTCTTTCGGTTTCTTGTCAATATAATTTTATTAATATTGTCAATAGCAAGCACCATAAGCAAGTGATAGTAAATTTTGGTTTTAGTGCAATAGTTATTTTCGAATAGAGTAGCTTCGACAGAAGTGGGCCACTAGCTATTGATAGATAAACTGACTGGCTATGAGTCCATCAACTTCGATAAATTGCTTGTTGCTGTAAAACAAAAAAAATTAAGAAAATTTCGGAACGCGCTGCTTGTATTACTGACGGTATAACCCGATCAAGTTTTCAACAGCCATTTATTGGAAAAATTAATCATTTAACATATCAATCATAATTCTTGATACTTTTACTTATTTTAGATGAAAAACTTGGGTGGCCTACTTCTGTTCACAAAATCATGAAATCGCTAATTTCTCTTTTTTACATAATGATGTAAAATAATCACAGTGAGTCTTAACCAGAATCAACCCAAAAGTTTTTGCTCAGTAAAAATTCTTTTTTTCTCTATATGGAAAATAGAAACTTTTATCAAAAAAATCAAAATAATCTATTGAGCCGTTTTTGAGAACGGTCCCATTGAATATTTTCACTATTAAAAATATATTATGAAAATAGCGAAAAGAAGTTTATTATTGTATTATAGTATCAGACGTGGATCCAGGGGGCACATATACATGCCCCCCTAAGAAACATGGTGGGTAGTTTTGGAGTTAAAACCTCCACCCCCGTGAAATTTTGAATTTCTTTTTACAAATCTGAGCGAACATAAAATCTTTCCTAAAACTTCTTTTTTGCCTACGCCCCTGAAGAAAGCAAATGAACTTATAATAATTATCAATTATAATATAATTGATAGTTACAATAATAACTATCAAGACCTTGATGGCTCTGCGGTTAGTGCGTTAGGTTCGTAATATGCGTTTAGCGTTAGGTTAGGGTCTTCGAATCTCGTCGTCGGTTAGGATTTTTCAAAATATGCGAGTTGTGCGTTCAATTGCGTTTAAGGTAGGGAAAAAAATCTTGTATGTGAAATCTACAGAAAATAAAAAGTAACACTAAGTTAAACTTAATAAATTCAATAATTTTTTTTTACTATTTTTTTTTTTAATTTAATGGTGGAATCCAATATTGGATCGCGGTTAAATTTCAGTATCGGGCCAATGTCGGATTCCAATATTGTAACGGTGTAGGAAAACAGTATCGGTTCGATCTTACTTTCCAACATCCTTTCGATACCAAAGCAGTACCGAATATCAGTATCGATACGACATTGGTATGTCGAAATCTGACATCGGTCCGATACTGATCCGCTATCAGAACCCTCCTGGGGTTCATATTGTATGCGAGTGTGAATTTGAAAATATTAAAAATGTCCAAAGTACCGAATATCAGTATCGATACGACATTGGTATGTCGAAATCTGACATCGGTCCGATACTGATCCGCTATCAGAACCCTCCTGGGGTTCATATTGTATGCGAGTGTGAATTTGAAAATATTAAAAATGTCCAAAGATCGTTTACGCATGCACTGTATAAAGTATTAAAGAATTTTAACTGTTTGAAAGAGGGAGCGATTATTACCCACTTTTAATGTATCACTTTTACTTAACCCATATTGGACCGAACAAACTGTTCGACTAGTCAAACACTAGTTTTAACATTGCAAATAAAATATTGGAATATCATACATTATTATGCATCTATATTTTTAACATCGAGAAGTAGTTTACTTTCAAATTTTTAAAGAACCAAAATTAATAAACAATTACAATAATTATGCCACTTACATTTGTAAGTGCGTCTGGAATTTTAGTGTTCGACTAGTCGAACAGCTGTCCCATATGGGTTAAACAAATGATTGTACCATATTAAAAATGTCAATATTCCTTGATTTGATAAAAAGAAAATTCCCACCTCCCAAATAATTGCTATTTTAAACATGGTAAGTTTACGTTCGGCAATGAGAATTTTCCCATCTGCTGTAATTTCTCAGTCATTAGTTATTTTGCTACATTAAAAGTTGGTACTATTATTACCTACATTGAAAGTGTCAATATCATCGGAGATTTGGGAATTTATGTTTGCTTTGATTTCACAAAAAAATTCAAAATTTCACAGGGGTAGAGTTTTTAACCCCAAAACCCCCACTTTTGGGTTGAGTCTGGTTAAGGCACACCGCGCAATATGTTAAAATTTTTAAGTTTTAACTTTATGCTTGAAAAACGTCAGATAATTCCTTTCTCTACAAATAGACGTAAAAAATTTGCTAAATTACAATTTTTTTAACATTCTAAAATCCAAAGTGTGGCCTACTTCTGTCGGTACTACTCCACATAACGTCCTTAACGCTGAAACACAACTTTTATGCATCGAAAACTTTATATACGTTTTTCACAAAACGTGTTTTTTCGCGCGCCGTGCAATGTAGCTCAAACAATTTTTAATCGATTTAAATCAAACTTACCACAAATCTTCTTTATTTTACTGGCTATTGCATGACGAGATCCTTTCTTTTTAAAAAAATTTTTAACATTTGTTTTTTAACATTGTTTATAAAAAAATTGACTTTTTTCCAAAATAGTCGTATTTACTCATTTTAACGGTAAAAATTTTGATTTTTAATTTTAGTTGAGATTTGTGACCTGTAGGCTGCACGGCGCAAAATCAAAGATGCAACTTCAAACGCCTGTAACGCCGTCATTTTATAATATTTTTTAATAAAAATTTTTTTTTATAAAGCTTATATTGTGTACTTTAAAGTATGCTTTACTTTAATTCAATAAACTTTACCAGTTTTTTTTAATTCCTGAAAAAACGTGCATTTACATGAGTTTCCCCCCTTAAACTGATTACTCGGGGATTTTCGGGGTCGCTGATCACAAATTCGATTTGTCAATTTATAATATTTCTTTTTAATAATTAACTATTGAGTCATGTGAATATAGTTCTTTATCCTGCCATGCGAATTTCGTTCAAGGCATATACTAATATAGCGTCATACGTCGAGCGATTATTTGACAACTTTTAACGCATGTTAATTTTTGGAAATATTTTAGTATAACTTTGAGCGTTTTTGTTAAGAAAATGGACATACGAAAATCGCAAGTATAGCATTGGTACTTTTAAAGTGAGAAATTTCTCTCCGTGTGTTTAAAAAATTTTTTTCAACACTAGATGATTTTAATTTAAAATAATTTTAAATACAACAATTTCTGTCAATAATAATATAATATTAATAGCAAATGCGAATGTTTTTCTCTTATTAAAATAAAGTTAAACGAAGAGTATTTAATTTTAAATGTAAATTAGAAAGTTATACAAAACTTTATTTGGAAACATAAAATTAAGATAAATACAAAAATTCTATAATGCGTTTATACAGTACACAATTTTACATACAGAATAATATATGTAGTTTTAAGTTATCTTTGCATAAATTTAGTTTTACTTAAGGTATTTGTCGCGATGATGTCATGTTCGAAAATCCTTAAAAAAGTTTTTTCATTTAAAGCTTCAAAATTATGAAAAACATTATTTCCTATTAACAAATTTTATACAGTGTTGACCAATTTTAAAATATCTCTACTCTTTCTTTTTAAAATTCGTATGCAATTGTTTCCTCAAAATGTCCCGTATATTAGATTTTTATTAAAACTTGACGATTCTTTCAAAAATTAAAGAATAAAATGTTACATTATTTATGGGTTTGGCACAAAAAGCATGTAAATTATAAAGTTGGATTTACAATTTTTAAACTTACAAACGGTCAATTTTAAGCAGCTTGGTTTTATTATATTGATAAATAGCTTTAGAATACTCAAGTTAATTTTCAAAAATATCTGACGAAAGCAAATCTACGAGACAAATACCTTAAATAGATGTCAATAATAAATATTAACATTTTACAATCATTTTTAAAACTAAAAGAAATCAAAAAAATAATCACAAACGATATAAGTTTAACTATAATTATGCAATGTCTATAGTAAGTAGTAACACTATTTTTAATTTCACTTTTATTATTAAATAATAATAATAATAATAATAATAATAAATAGTGACAATTAAAAATTCTGTTGAAGCGTAAAAGAAAATTTCAACTTTGAAGGTCAAGTTTAGAATCGAACCTTCAATCAAGTTCATCCAATACAGTTATTTTCAAAAAAATTTTTTACGAAATTCTTGATTGTTTGTACTACTATTCATATGGCACCAACTCTTCAAGTGCGAAAAAAATTTTTTTCTTGAATAAACGGAAATGCAGAAAAATATAATCACTACATAGTAAACAATGAAAAGATTTAAACATTTCTGTCAATTAAAATATATTTTTTGTAATATGGGTTATGTTTTAATATATGTAAATGAATTTTTTTTTATTTTTGTTAGTAAATATTTTAAAATGAAGTAAGTTTCTCAATTCACAAGAACTGACCCAACCTATGAAATTTTTTTAAAAAAATATGCATATGAGCAGTTAGGTAAATTTAAAAATACGGATCTGATAAAAAATATTATTACTTTTTCATTTGAGAATCAAACTTGGGCATTAGTAAAACAGTTCAGATTTATTAAATGTTTGATTCCATTTCATTCCCAAAAAGGATATTAAATTCAATAAATGATTACATTAAAAAACACTGTTCTTTAAAGATATGTACTCTTTTCGACGCAATTATATGCCTAATTACTTAAAGAATTTTTAAATGTCATATATTCTAATTAATTAAAGACAAACGTAAAGAACATTCTGTTAACAACTGAAGATTAGGAAATATTATTCTTTAACTTCAAAATATTTATAAGTTGGATTCTCGTAACCGTTTATCTGCATATTTGCCACATGTCTTTCTTCAGGTGTTGCAGCTTGATCGACTTCAATGAACCCCTGTAATAAATAACAAAATTAAATATACTTACATATTTAATTTTCTATACTCAAGGAGAGGTTCTCATTGAGGTAACAAAAAACAAAACAAAATTTGAAATTTTTTGCGAGTAACAATTATGACTCATCAATCTAGATTTTTTTACAACTAGACCAACGCGCGCTTTGGCCACTGGCGGATTTTATTTACTTAAATTCGACCTTTCTGGGACGAATCTAAGTCGAATTTGGGTAATTATCAAAAAAAGCTTTTAATTGATAAAAATTTTTAAAAATAAGTATTAAAACCCAGACAGCACAGAAACTTGCAACAACCTTGCAGCATTATAAAAATGCCAGGTTCCCAAGCTTACGCGGCAAGTTTCCAGCAAGAGTGCCTCAAGTAACAAAATGTCCCACCCTAGCAAGCTTGCAATGAAAGGTTGCCGCAAGCTTTTAAAAAAAGGTTGCCGCAATCTTACAATGAAAGATTGTTGCACAGTTCATAATAATTGCAATTAAATTAAAAAACAGTTTTCTTAAAAGTGACAAGAACTCTATTATACTGACCACACACGGTAAAAATGAAATTAAGCCCCGTGAAGTTGACACACCAAGTGCAACGAAAACAGGTTTTGTTGTATGAAATCGTTTGGTGGTGTTTGGTATCTAAGTTTGGAGGTTTGGTAGTCAAAATTAAAAAAGTTACAATAATTTCAAGTTTTGAGTGCTATTTTCACACCAGCACTGCAAAAAATAATATTTTTTAAAAATTCCTTTTGGTATCGTTTGGTAGTCAATTCTGGAGGTTTGGTAGTCGAAAATATAAAAGATAATTCATTTCTAAAACTTATATCAAAGTGCACGAATGATCTTCTAGCGCGATAATTCAAATTGTATTTTAAAATTTTTAATATTTTTCCTAATTTCACTTGTAAATTTATTGAAAAATAGTGTTTTACAATTTAATGTATATGAATTTCATATAATATCATATGATAATTTAAAATACTAATAAAAAAATGTACATGGGTGATTCTCCGCGTAGCGCACGATTTGGTGTCTGAAAGTTTGAAAATATTTTTCATCACACATGCACGATTTAGTCAGTTTTACGCCCCACCGAGCAAGCTTAAACTCCAGCTTTTCGAGCGGCGTGCGCGGGTGCGTTTAAATTAAAAATTTACACTCTAGGGAGTAAAAACGTGACGTCACACACATGAAACAAATCATTTACACACACTTTTCAGTCTGTCGTTGTTGCTGTGCGCATGCTCCATACCGGCGCACGCAGGTCAATGTTTTCTGTGAGACAGTACCTGCATGTCTGCTAGATATACTAATCGGGATGTCATTGGCACCGACTCAAAAACCTGAAGTTTAAACTCGCTGGATGGGGCACAAAACTGTCGAAATCGTGCATTCGTGATAAAAAATATGTTGCATGACATGAGGAAGGACCGATTTACGGAGAGGACTGAATTTTTAGCACTTGACGAGCACTGCGAATCACTCAGCCTTCACCCTCGCGCCTTCGGCGCTTGGGCTACGGCTTCGTTCATCTCAGTGCTCGACTCGTGCTAAAAACATTCGCCCTCTCCGTAAATGGGTCTGTCTTCCCCATGTTAAGCAATATACTATTTTTATAGAAATGATAAATATCAATACATATTTTTGAAGATAAAGTGTCAAGAAATAAATATCCATGGTGGGCCGGAAAAATTTTTTAATTTTTTTAAACAAATTAAAAAAAAATTCTTTGCTTGTTGAATTCTATAAAATAGTTGAAATTTAATTTAAAATGTTTATGGGAATTTTTGGGGTAATTCACAACAATATATATAGCGCGAACGACAATTAAAAAATTTTATTTCGGTAATTTACGGAAATTTTCGAGGTAATTTATGGAAATTTATGCGGTAATTTATAGAAATTTTATCTAAAATTCATAAAAATATGTAAAGCATAAATCACAATTAAAAATTATTATTTTGGTAATTTATGAAAAATTTCGTGGTAATTTATGGAAATTTTCGCGGTAATTTACAAAAACATACATAGCGCGAACGACAATTAAAAATTTTATTTCAGTAATTTATGGAAATTTATATGGTAATTTATAGAAATTTTGGCTATAATTCATAAAAATATGTAAAGCATAAATCGCAATTAAAGATTTTAATTTCGGTAATTTATGAAAAATTTCGTGGTAATTTACAAAAATATATATAGCGCGAACTACAATTAAAAATTTTATTTTGGTAATTTATGGAAATTTATGCTGTAATTTATGGAAATTTATACGGTAATTTATAGAAATTTATTTGGTAAGTTATAGTAAACTTACCGGAGCTATAATAGTTTATAATAAATATATTGAATTTCGTTTGTTTCATTGTGTATTAAACTTGGACTAGTGACGGTCGAAATTTTATGGCGGGTGGAGACGCTGGGGTCGGTCGAACCGGTGGAGCGAACGTTAATAAATTTTATTTTTTTTTGAGTAAATTATCATTTATTTTTAATCGGTTTCATATGTTTCACATATATATAGACTAAAATAATATAACTACACTTTATTTAACCTTTATTATTTAATTATATTCTATTTTTTTAAATAATATTGAAGGGTCGGTGGATGCCGGTGGAGACGATTTTGTGATGCCCTGTACAAATTTGAATCTTAAAATGTGTAAAAAAAGGATAAATCAATTAGAAAATTGATTATTTTCTTCATGGATCAACTTAAGGAATATAACTTTTGCTGTTACTGAAGTAGAACTATATTAAAATTTGACTTTTATTTAAATAAATCAATGTTTAATAATAAAACGCAGAATAACACACAAAAGTGCAGTCAAGTATAAATAGCAAAAAAAAAGAAAATAATTTTTTTTTGGATCAAACGTTTTTTTTATTCAATTCCACTACAATATACAATACTAAAATAACAATAGAAATTGTATTTATTAGTGCACATTGCTAAAAATATTAACTTTTTTGTTTAAACATCCTGTGGGGACAGGTGAAATTTTGACGTTTTCAGCCTTAAAAACCACTTTTTACGAAAAATTATAATGTTAAATACAAAAATAACTATTGGTTTTTGTTTGTAGTCACAGAAATTACCATTTTACATTGGAATCGAAATATTATGTGAATATTATTTGTGATTTTTCTTTCACAACATGAAAAAAAGCAAGTTGTGCGCTACGCGGAGAATCACCCACATATCTTAAGAAAAATTTGAAAATCGTTTTTTACTTTTTTACCAATCTCTCAAAGTTCACTACTAAACACCACAATTCGACCACCAATTGATACCAAAGAAATGTTTTTAAATAAATATTTTTGAAGTGCTAAATTCACGTCTGCACTGCACTTTTTTTGAAAAATTGAAATTGAAATTTCAAATTAAATTAAGAAAATAATGAGATAGTTATAATTAACAATTTGAATTTTCCCGCCAGAAGATCATGCGCATTCATATTCGCGCAATTCGTTAAAATTTTTAGAAATGAATTATCTTTCAATTTTCGAAATATTTCTAATTTTTTAAAAAAGTGCAGTGCAGACGTGAATTTAGCACTTCAAAAATAATTATTTAAAAAAAATTTTTTTGGTATCAATTGGTGGTCGAATTGTGGTGTTTAGTAGTGACCCTGGCGGATTTGATTTACCTAAATTCGACCCAGCTGGGGCGAATCTAAGTCGAATTTAGGTAATTATCAAAAAAAGCTTTAAATAGATGAAAATTTATAAAAATTAGTATTGTGAGGTTAAATGAACATTTATAGAGTTAATTTTTGTACGAATTTTAATTATTAACGTGATAAATAATAAATAATCACTTGATATGTGCAAGTGGTAACTGTAGATTTTAACTCGTTGTCAGTTTTCATAATATTTTCAAGAAATTAGTGTAAAATGTGTGAAAAAATAATTTATATTTAATAGAAATTGCAAATTTTATTAAATTATTTTATTATTTATCGAGCACAGTTTAAAATAATTGCAATTTAATTTAAAAAAAAAAGTTTTCTTAAAAGTGATAAGAACTCTACTACACCGACAGCAAGAGGATATTTTCAGGTAAGTAAAGTTATTGTAGCGTGTAGTTTTGTTGTGACTAAAAGATGTCGCTTTAGTTTCTATAGTGATCAGACAGGAACATCGAATCTCATGATAAAATATTCATGAATATTCATCTCTGTTCTATCTTATATCTGATCACTATAGAAACTAAAGCGACATCTTTTAGTCACAACAAAACTGCACGCTACAATAACTTTACTTACCTGAAAATATCCTCTTGCTGTCGGTGTAGTAGAGTTCTTATCACTTTTAAGAAAACTTTTTTTTTTAAATTAAATTGCAATTATTTTAAACTGTGCTCGATAAATAATAAAATAATTTAATAAAATTTGCAATTTCTATTAAATATAAATTATTTTTTCACACATTTTACACTAATTTCTTGAAAATATTATGAAAACTGACAACGAGTTAAAATCTACAGTTACCACTTGCACATATCAAGTGATTATTTATTATTTATCACGTTAATAATTAAAATTCGTACAAAAATTAACTCTATAAATGTTCATTTAACCTCACAATACTAATTTTTATAAATTTTCATCTATTTAAAGCTTTTTTTGATAATTACCTAAATTCGACTTAGATTCGCCCCAGCTGGGTCGAATTTAGGTAAATCAAATCCGCCAGGGTCACTAATCATTAGCAACCGTTGCTAGGCAAAAAATGTCCTTAGCAATATTTGCCTCTAAATTTCGGAAAAAAGCGTGTCCCCCCTTAACTTTTATAGTTTTGGAGCAAGGGTGCTAAAACTTGGTGTATATACGTATTTTTTGAAGTAGATTAAAGGAAAATTATAGCGAACCCGATTGAATTGCATATAGCTATATTCGAAAAACTCAAAATTCCTGAAAAAAGCTCAAAATTCCTTTTTATCTTAACTTTATCAATATTTTAGCCAACCATCTCAAACTTTGTACATA